GCTCCCCCTCTACTTATACATGAGGTAGGCAGCCTAAAGCCACGAACCAAACTCATACTAGCAGTTCTAAACACCTTACAAAACCCACTAGTACAAGAAAGAAACTTTATATAACCAATCGTACCAAATTTGGACTCCTTCCAAATTCGACTCCGCATCCCATACGCACACAATAACTCCATCGTATGCCATATGGAATCTCCATCAACCACGTGCATCAACTCTAGCCTTAGTATCCCGCATGATCTCTGACCACAACGGACGTCGTCTTATCTCTAAGCCGACTCCCGGTCCATCACCGCAAATACTCTACCGAGACATCGAGTCACCTACACATGGAACAAACAAAGAAACCATATTCCGAGACCAAGCTATCTCCAACTTGACTCATTAGCAGCAAACAATAGTATTACATACATATAGTATCCATCTAGAAGTCATAAACATGAAATAAACTCGGATATCCAAACAAAGAACTCGAAACCGAAACCGACACAGCGTCGGCCGGTCAGACCGCGGGCTGGCCAGTCTGACCGCGCATTACACGCCGGTCTGACTGGCTACCAGAACCGGTCTGACCGGTCACATAAAATGATAAACCTGTGATTCACCTGTAAATCCAATCATCTCCAAAACCACTTCGTGAATAAATTCCAAATAACAAAATTCGATCCTACAGCCCGACTCCATTATTACTCTATCTTTATGACTTGAGGAAAATGTGAACATTTTTATTAAGGAATTTAAAACAAACGATTAGGATCTTGCAAGAAAATTTTCCTCTAGATATTAGATGAACAACCGTAAAAATTCTCATACCCATCCCCTCTTATAACTCTATGCATATATTTTTTTCCATTTTATGCCTTCATCTGTTTTGGATGGTGAGAAGAAAGCATAATGCATGGCTCAAAATTTGTTCAACCCATAAGACAAAGAGTAAATTTCATAAAACTACGGATACTTTGCACGATCCATCACAAAACTACAAATTTAACAACTTGTTTCACAAAATTACAGATTCATCGTCTTTGTTTATCACAAAACTACAGGTACTTTGCACAATATATCACAATACTATAGGTACTTTGCACAATATATCACATAACTACAGATTTAAGAACTTGTTTCACAAAATTACAGATTCAGTGTCTTCGTTTATCACGAAACTACAGGTTTAATGTTTCAATTATTACAAAACTACAGGTTTTAGCATAGTTAAAACCTATAGTTTTGTGATAATTAATGGAGACACTAAATTTGTGGTTTTGTGATAAATGAAGACACAAAATATGTAGTTCTGTGATAAACGAATACACTAAATCTATAATTTTGTGAAACAAGTTATTAAATCTGTAGTTTTATGATAGATTGTACAAAGTATCTATAGTTTTGTGATAAGTGGAGACATTAAATTTGTAGATTTGTGAAACAAGCTCTTTTAAATCTGTAGTTTTAGGATAAATTATGCAAAATACCTGTAACGAAAGCAGGCTCACGAACTATTCTTGTAACGTGAAAAATGGAAAAGGGTATTGTTGTCTATCTATAGCTGAGTCCAACTAATACATGGAAAATAATCCTGAGCATTTGCTGAACAGGGTCTTGCAATACATGGAGTAGTAATTGATGGTGTTTTATTCAAGCAAGCTGATGAGTGGAACCGTATACATATCCGCTTTTTTTTTTCCCGAACAGCCAAACATGTTACCTGGTGTTATATTAATAGAACGGATTTAAGTACACAACAAAAGATGAAAGAAAAATAAAAAGCTGTACATTTCTGATTGCAAACTTGCTTGCACGTCAGTCTACCTTTCAGCTCATTGCAACAATCATGCAACGTACTTTGCGCTGGCCAAGCTCTAACAACCGAACTCATCCTGAATTTGATTGATTATTTGGGTGCAAATCCGCTTAATTTGCACCCAAATCTCAGGGTTGGTGGTGTCAGCACGTCTCGTTTCTACCCTGTCCATAGCATTTCTGGCAGCAAAGTTCTATCTCTGCGAATGCATGGAAAAGGAAATTTTCGTCTAGCTCAAACTCGTTCTTTTCATGGACATAGATGTGAATTCCCCCTACCAGTACCTCCCATGTCCATAATGATCATCAAACTTTGCTATAATATGTGCTAAACCTAGAAGGGTTTTCAGCATTCGGTAGACTGACATAGGAGGTTAGGGTAGAACTCTCTTCTTCCCACGATCTCATGGACGACATGTGTTCTTCTCTGTTCGATCTCTTTTGGTGCTGGCATTATATGACCAAGGCTGTTTCCTACCTATGAAATACTCTCTCAGGTCAAATATATTTGATGTTTATATCGGACAAGATTAAGTCAAACTTTTACGATTCATAACATTTTTTAAACATTTTATAATACAAATTTCTGTTGGGTTTAGTCTCACATCGGTAATTTATGATGGGGAATACGACTTAAAAGGTGGGGACAGTCCTCACCTATCAAACTAGTCTTTAAGGTTGTGTAGGCCCAGGACCTTAAGTTGTGGCTCCGGTTGGGCCTGTAGTGGAGCAGATCTAATATGACCTGAGTGGCCCACGGTTGGTGGGCCAGGCTACGCAGTCTAACATTTTCAACAAGGAAAAGTTGTATATCTGTGTTGTTAAAGATTGGGATGCTTAAATTATATCTGAAAAGCTGACATATTGAACTACTACGTACTCTATGATACGATGAGTTATATTTGACAGTCTGCTTCTAAATTATGTATAAGAAATGGAATATTTTCTATCGAAGAGATCAAACATAACCCCAAACAAATGATTCACTTTCTCTTTCCATGATCACCCAACCATTAGGATGGTAGGTAGCTTATGTTGTACAAGTGGAAGTAAAACCGTAAACATTGAGGGAGGAACATAAGGACACAGCCCTTGTGCAGTAAATGTTGATCGTCGTGTATTTACATGGTCATAGAGTGACCAACATTGCCTGAATTCGATCTTTGGCGATTCTTATAGGAATGGCAGAAGGATAAAGTGAGGGGAACAGTGTATATCTTCACTTCTTCGACCTCTCGATCTGCCATCCTTGCTCGTTTGGATTGATTAAGGGAGATATAATCTCGAATATGTAAAAGAAATAGATGTGGGATGTATCAGAGAGCATATTTGTCCAGGGATCTAATGTGAGTGATCAATTGTTTTAGGGCTCTTTTACAGTACCTTCCACTAGGAGTGGTAGTAGTGTAGTAGAAATAAATCTCACCGTTGATCCTGATCGCCATTTTAGTCATTTCCTTAAGTGAGGTGGAAGGGTAGTTTAGTAATCTTTGCTCCCATGCTGGACTAAACGGGTCTGAGATTGTGGAGGATCCACCTCTACTATAAATCTATAATCGTGTGGATGCAGGGGCGGATTCAGGAAAGATTAACAGGAGGGTCTGAACAAACTATACAAAATTATAGCCCTCTCTTCTCACTGGTGGAGAAATCATCTTTGGTCGGTTGACCAAATTCCACAATAATCCCGGATCTAATAAAAACCGGGACTAAAAAGCATTTTTAGTCCCGGTTTAAAAGTTGACGGGTACTTTTTGATCTTTAGTCCCGGTTGGTGTTACCAACCGAGACTAAAGATCATTTTTAGTCCCGGTTCAAGAAGTTGTGGGGTTCAAGACAGACCCCAATTATTTTTACTCCCGGTTGGTATAAACAACCGGGACTAAAAATAGATCTTTAGTCCCGGTTGTTTATACCAACTGGGAGTAAAGAGTACCCCGAACCACGCGCCAGATATTATCGCGCGCCACAAAAATAATTATTTAATACCAATTATTTTTACTCCCGGTTGGTCTTTAGTCCCGGTTGTTTATACCAACCGGGAGTAAAGAAAACCCCGAACCACGCGCCACTTAATATTATCCGCGCACTCTTGATCTCCTCCCCTCTCATTACTCCTTCTCTATCCCTTCCTCTCCCCCTTCATCCCCTTCCTCTCCCCTTTCCCCTCCCATTCCTCCCCTTCCCCTCTTTGAGCGGCGGCCGGGGGGGAGCAGCGTCGCCCGGCGGGAGCGCCGGCGGCCGGGCGGGCGGGCGCGGCGCCCGGGCGGGCTGGCGCGGCGGCCGGTCGGCCGAGCTCGCGTGGAGGCCGCAAGGACGGTGGCCGGGAGGCCGGCGGCGCCCTCCTCTTCGCTGCTGATTTTTTTGAATTTTTGATTCATTGGATTTGATCTGCGATGTATGTGATATTGGATCTGATCTGGGAGTTGTGATGTATTTCTTTTAGGATTTGTAAGGTATTTCTTGTTTGAGATTTTGTGATGTGATGTATTTCTTTCTAATATGTGATGTATTTCTTTCCATATCTGTAATGCTACTTTGATTTAGGGATGATTTGGGAATATGATCGGGGATATCTAGGTAGCAGATCGATTTGAGAAAAAAAAAATAACCGGGACTGCTCCTACCATCTTTAGTCCACCAACCGGGACTAAAGATGGATGTTTAGTCCCGGTTATTTTACCCGGGACTAAAGATGGGTATTTTTAGTCCCGGATTCGTAGTCCCGGTTGTATAACCGGGACTATAGGGGGGTTTCCAACCGGGAGTAAAGCCCCTTTCTCCACCAGTGTCTAATAGATGTATGACAAAAAAAAATTTAGTGGGGTCTTTATGGGGTCTCCCATGGTTACAATATGGGAGCGGGGTCTCGAGACCCCAGAGACCCCACGGTGGATCCGCCACTGTGTGGATGGATTGCTGATAAATGTGCTTACTACCGCATACTTTGTGATTTTGAGTTTGTAGGATCCATAGTCTGTGATTCAACTGTCGTTACAGCTAGGAATCACAATCCTTTGTCAAATAGCCTAGGGATTGCTTTGTGGTATCTGCATATAGTTTGTTGTCTATACAATGTGGCCGATCGCGGTCGTACCTCCCCACGCGATGAAGTGAGGTGCAAGCTGATCTGAATAAGCACAAAATTATTGAAATTCTTGTATGTCCTGAATTTACTCCAAAACAAACGAATATATTTGAAACATGTATAATAACTCATCCTTCATTGCGACTACAAACAAATATAGTAACAAAATTCGCAGGTAAATGGTCTTCTCGATGACCTTATTGAAAATATAAACAGATAGCTGCAAGCCTGCAACAGCAATACTAGGCCTGATCCACGTCATGAATATGTAACTGCAGCTCAAAATCAGTCATCGAGAATCAAAACTGGCAAACTGGATGGAAGTATTTGTCCCTTCGATCCCATTCTATCAAAGATGGCTCTTAACCCATCTGCAGTATCATCGGGAAACAATATATCATAATAATTTACCAGTATGGCTTAAGCCAATCATATTGTTTCAATTTTAGCAGACTATTAGGAAAGGGTCTTTACCTTCAAAGGCCGTAAACTTGTTCAGGTTGAAGAGAATGGTGAAGAAATCAAGAAATGCCCAAACAGTTTGCACCTTCCGAGGTCTTTTAATGTAAAAAAAAGTCCAATTCTGAAACATGAATAAATTAAATACGCTGGCTTAAAATGCCTAACAACCTAGTAACAACATATAAATCTAGAAAAATGTTTGCTTATATACCTTCAATCATACTCCCTCCTTCCCTAAATGTTTGACGCCGTTGACTTTTTTAAACATATTTGACCGTTCGTCTTATTCAAAAACTTTTGTGAAATGTGTAAAACTATATGTATACATAAAAGTATATTTAACAATAAATCAAATGATAGAAAAAGAATTAATAATTACTTAAATTTTTTGAATAAGATGGACGGTCAAACATTTTTAAAAAACCCAACGGTGTCAAACATTTTGGGATGGAGGGACACTACTAGGAAAAGCATTATCGCAAGCGGCCGAAAAGGGTCTTTGCAGGTGGGGCGGCCGTCTGCCTGTAAGCCAACGACTGTGAAGATCGCCGATCTTCGCAGGCGGGGCGGCCGTCCGCCTGCGAAGATTATGTTCGCAGGCGGACGTTGGCTAGTCCGGTCCGCCTATGAAAATAGGAATCGTCCGCTTGCAAAAAAATAAAAACTTCCGCCTGCGAAGATAGGTAGAAAATATTGAAATTTAATTACAATTTGGCCGTAAATTACTTTTAAATTATTTAATAGAAATTCTTGCAGGTAGATTTTTATGTACATATATTGGAAGATTATCAAGCATTTGGTACTGAGAAATCTACATATATTGCATAACTCAAAAGTGTTGCCAAAATATATATATTACAATATTTTTTTACATTGTCACTTCAAATAACGTCATCTAGGTACATTATAGCATAGCAGTGTTCCACTCCCGAAGATCCTTGAATTCGTCACTTGCCGCTAGGGCACCCTCTGGGTCAAAGAAATCTCCTTTGACATGACAGCACTCATGGTGAATGAAGTGGCACAGATCACACTGGACATTTGTGATACCTGTATCGTCAAAGCTTGTTCGACATTCTAATCCTGGCAACTGCATGCATTGAAATTAATCAATATATTAGTATCATAAATATCAAGAGCTGTCTAGTACATAGTATAGAGACTTACATCCTCCGCGTTAGTCCTGTACCGTCCATTAACCCTAAGGAATTCGCACGCATAATACCCGCAAAGGACCGTTCCTCGCGGTTGCTTGTGACACTTCAGGACATATCATAGAAAAAAGTAGTTAAAATTTGCAATTAGTGAAACAATTGGAATACATAAAGTGAGTGGAGTATTACCGGCCAATAGGTACATACTAGTAGCTTCTCCCGTGTTCAGGTCTGTTCTCCACCCTTGAACTTGTAGTATTGGTATGCACTGTATGGATGTCGTACCGTTTCAGAGTAAGGAGGATATTTATTTGTAATACATTCATATACAAATGCAAGAGTCATAATAACTTACTACTGTAAGATTGTTAGAAATTCTTTGTATTGCTTGTGACTGTAATCGAGAGGATCCAAGACTACCACGGTTCCATCTTTAGGGTGGATGAGTAAACAGATATAATGATCGCTACATATTAACAACATCATAGTTAGTTAGTACCAGCTAAAATAAGACATATGTGTACAAGATAAATGTACCGGACTTACATAAATTATAAGCGGCCATGACGACTCTCTTATTTTGAAAGTGCAAGAAGGCTCGTCCAATGTATTGTGTGACAGTAATCAATTTCTCCTTGTGCAAGCCCTTCTTGTATTCTGCTATCTCTTTTGGATTCTTGCCCTTCAGCTGGTCTGACCCTGGTGCTAGCGTCACGGTATGCTGTGTTTGGCAGATCCGAGTTGGATCCAAGAAGCCAATTGGTTCTTTTTTCTTCTTAGCATCCATGTATTGCATCCTACAGAAGAAGTTTGTTAGTAACAATCACATGGATTTGTATTGTACATATTTTTCATCTAATTAATTAAAACTCATACTCACATGCACCAAACACCGATGTAGTTGACGTCCATCTTATCCCGAAGATATATGGCGTGGAGATCTGAGAAATCTAGCCATACGTAGCCTTCTTCGCCGAAACAATCTGCCGGTGATCGAGCTGTTATATTGCCCAAGCCTTTCTTGCTGGCCTCCATGTAGAAGTTATGTAACCTTCTCATCTCCCATGGTGCTTCTTCTAGTGCCCATTCCGGCAACAGTGCTTTCCCATGTTCATACTTTTCCGGGCAATCATCGGTTGTGAAGTATGTTGGCCCGGCTAGTTCAGCAGCCTTCTGGGGGTCGTCATCTCTGAGCTTGGCACGTTCCTTACCCCCTCTGAAGACGGTTACCATGAACTTCTCCTTGTTCTCATCTTTGGACTTAGAGTCGTGACTCCTAAGCACTCGTGGCACTTCGGGGTCTTTCGCAGGAGAAGGGTCTTCAAATATTTCTGGCTCTGTACCATCCCATTCCAATCCTGGTACTTCTTCTTTGTCTGACCCGACTGATGCCACAAATTGCACCTCTGGTTCTGCCACTGTAATCTCCATGGGCACATCCGGCACTGGAATCTCCATGACTGTCTCCGGCGGTGCAATCTCCATGGCTGCCTCCGGCAATGCAATCTCCGGTGGCACCACAGGTTTTTGCGTGGCGTCGGTGAACAATCCAAAGGATATGTCATTCTTGTACCAGAGAATTACAAGATCGACCACATCCCCAAGTACGGATACACCATCTGCAGTCGGGTAGTCAATGTCGTAGGACTCAAACCCTTCGTGGACCACTTGTGGCTGCACCTTGGCATACGCATCGGGTATGAACTGTTCATTGTATGTTCTCCCAGGGATAGCAATGGCTGTAGCGGCCTCAAGAGTTTTACCGGAGCATCCAATGGGAACGTGCAATCTGCAGGGTGTATTCTCCTTGAGGTCATCGAAGGGGTAATCTGGCTCAGTTTCTTTGGTTTCGGGGCGTGGTAAAATCATGTGCTTGACGCAGAAATCCATCATTTGCCTTTCAAACTCCGCAGCCCCTTCGTCTCTAAGTTTATCCTTGTACGCTTCACGCTTCTTGTGGGGGTCATTTTTGAACCCTTCCTTCCAACTCATCTTGCTCGACACACCTCTAACCCTTCCCCCATGCTCAGGAGTACCCAGCGCCATACTTAACACATCTTTCTCCCTTTTAGGCTTGAAATATCCTTTCTTTTGTGAACAAGATAAATTTTCTATTTTATCAGCAACACTCTGCAGCTCCGGATTTTCAAACGATACTTTTCCTTCATCCGTGATCTTCGGAGTTCTAGCTCTTACCCAGTTCCTTGATCTCTGTTTCCACTCCTCCATTGGTACCGGTTGCCCCTTCTTCCTCATTTCCTCCTCCTCTTTTGTCCACTGCTCCACCTCTGGTGCGTATCCCGCGGAGCCTAAGCGATGAGGAAATTTGTTCTTCTTGGCCAACTCTGCATACTTTTGGCTCCTTTTAATTTCTTCCGGGGAGTTCTTCAAGGTCAGAAAGTCGTCCCACTGATTGGGGGTTATGTTGGCATACGTCAAAAATGGTGTGCGTCCCGTCTTCACAAATTTCTTGTTCAAGGTGGTTTTTCAACCACGCCAAGACTTGGCCATTGTTTGCAGTGCACAATTTCTCACTACTGCCTCTGATCCTTCCGGGAACTGGAAGATTTTCTTCAACTCTTTCCATAGGACTTCCTTATCCCCATTTGATACATGATCCCAGTCCTTGACCGTGATGGAGATCTTTTCCCTTACTATTATACCACACTGTGAACTGAATTTTGCACGTGCCATCTTAGGGGCGAGCGGCTCTCCTTTAGGCGAAACATGGGTAACAACATGGAACCCTTCATCCTTTCTATTCACGCTTCTCTCACCCTTCCTTTTCTTCGCCTTTGCTGACCGTTCGCTTTTCTTTGTGCCGGTTGTGTTAGCTGGTACGTCGTCGTCTTTCGACGGAACTTTTTTCTTCGGCTCCTGTTTTGATCGCCGTGGCGCCATTTCCTACGAGAAGGTATGCATGGAAGTTTTGAATTAGCTCAGGCTAATAGTTATCACGGTGAACATTTTACATATAAAGTTTACTTACCCCTTCTTTAGGGGGAATGTAGTCCTTGTCGCCTTCTTCACCGTCGCCCTTTTTCCTTCTCTTCGGGCTTGGGCTTGGACAAGGATCGCTTGGCGACGAGTACTCCTCGTCTTCGTCACCTACGTCGCTGTCGGAACTACCTTCCGGTGGGACCGTTTGTTCCGGAGCAACCAAAATAGCAAGGGACTGCTCATGCTCCCCTAAACCCTTCTCTTCAGTCCCTTTAGTACTATCGGCCATCGTTTCAAACCTCTAATATAAAAAAAAGAGTTATCGTCCACATTTTAAATTACTCAAATTAGTACAAACTAATTAGTACAAAAATAAACTGTATATTAACAATATGTCGTATGAACAAATTTAAATTCTCTGAGATTTCCAAATTTAACTAGTACTTACTATTATGCTAAATTAATTAGTACAAACAAATATAAATAGTGAAACTAATGACTACTTACTATTATGCTAAATTAATTACTATAAACAAATTTAAATAGCGAAACTAATGACTACTTACTATTATGCTAAATTAATTACTACAAACAAATTTGTACGAAATTTGATATGTTATTATCAAGTAGTGCACTAATTGACTTCCTTATTTCATCGACATGTTGACTAAAAAAAATGGAAAAGGCAAACATATCCTCCACATTTTTTTTAAAAAAAAATGTTAACATACCCTCCAACATGTTATTTAAAAAATTTGACAAATTCACATATCCTGCAAAATTGAACATACCCTCCCAATTTCATTCACATATCACCCACATTCCCAAATTCACATCCACAATCAACATATAACCCCTCATTCACATATCACCCACCCCTCATGCCCATTCACACCCACATGCACACACATATATACCCCCTCACACCCACATGCACACACATATAAAAGGAAACACCCACATGCACGCACGTCCGTGTTCGACGAACGGCCGACGACGAGCTTCGGTCGTGGATGACGAAGGAAGTGCCGGCGACGAGGTTCGGCCGTGGACGACGACCG